ACGGCCAAGGCATGTGCTTGGGCCGTAAACTCCTTGAAACATGGTGTAAACTCATTTTAAGGTGTTAGAAAGCCACTTTAACACCCCTAAAGCCTTGGAATAATTTTTAGAAGTGCATATAAACAAGTTTTTGACCTTAAAACACAAGGAATCCCTCTCTAGGAGAGTTTACGGCTATGAGGGGGGTCTCATGGGCCGTAAACTCCAAAAACCCCTCAAAAGTCCCATAAAAATTCATGAAAGGCATTGAAACAATTTTAGCAATCACATGTGATTTGTTTGGAACCAATAACACACTTATTCATGGGGATTTGAGAGTTTACGGTCATGAGTCCTATGCTAGGCCGTAAACTCCCTTAAGTATGTCATTTGGTGTTTAAAAATTATTCCAAGCCCTTAAACCAAGCCTAGAAATTATCCCCTAAGTATTTCAAGCCATTTTGTGCCATAAATCACCCCACCATGAGTTTACAGCCGTAAACTCACTGGGAGGGGGTCATTAGGGCCGTAAACTCCCTAAGGAGTTTACTTTTGGAGTCCCATTTCAATGTCCTAGTTTTATGTGTCCCCAAATGTCACCCGGGTCCCTCCAAACACTTGTATCGGGGTGTTTTCGCGACTAGAAGTAATTGTCCCTATCAAATAATCAATCTAAGTCCTAATTAGATACAAATGTGTATCTTTACATTATACTTAGGAACCACGTGCGTTTGCAAGCCCCGGACCAACGTTTAGCATCCGAAATCGTCACATTTCTTGTCCGGTGAGTTCATACCCCTACGCTTTTTCCATGTTTTTCAATGTTTTCAAGGGGGAATACAAGCAAACTATAACTGTTTTCAAAACTTAACATTGATATGTTTCAAATAATATCTGGCAAATCTATAAACACTTTTACCCCTTATGTATTATGTTGAGCATAAGGGATGAATTACAACTAAATGGATTTTAGTTAAGAAAATAACCAAACTAATCAAATTATTATGGGAATAATTTGGGGTTCTTTAGTGTCCGTTTTATCATGTACTAATATGTATATAAAGTTATTAGATAAACTATGTTTGATTCAGTTTATCTCCGTATCATTTGAATGTATTGCCAGATGGTTTCATTGTATGTATCTATATTTGCTGTATTACGTTTCATAATCTTTTGTATGTTTGATATCGTATGAGAACCCTGTGAATAGTTTAGTACTACCTTTTGAGTTCGTCACTACCCTTTATGGATGATCAGTAAATCCTCCCCGGAAGTGTAACCAGAGTCTCCTGGAGGGAGAGCGAGGAATTTGTGAATAGATCTATTCGGGACTGACAATCCCACACCTTAACTGCTAGCTACAGTTAGGCGGGCACGCCTGGGGTGACAAATTTCTGGATATCATTCGACGTCTGACAAGCGTCAAGGAGGTCTCGTTGTCGTATCAGCATGGTTACCCGACTCACAACATGTATTAATATAAGCTTATTCACAGTATCGTTGTGGGTTCATTTTTACTATGTTTCGATTCCATATCTACCTTCTATCTGTAGTTTCCATATCTAGTACGGGATGGTAGTCCCATGGTTCTCAGTCTATTGGTCTTATGTCTAATGCGGTATGGTAGTCCCAGGGTCTTTAACTTATATCTACTACGGGATAAAAATCCCATGATTTCAATCTATATCTGGTACGGGATGGTAGTCCCATGGTTTTGAAACTATATCTAATACGAGATGATAATCTCATGGTTTTGAATCTATATCTAGTGCGGGACGGTAGTCCCATGGTTTTCAATTTATATTTCAGCGAATATCAAACTATACTGTATCTAGTACGGGACGGTAGTCCCATGGTTTCCAAACTATATTTCCATGAATATTAAACTATATTGTATCTAGTACGGGACGGTAGTCCCATGGTTTCCAAACTATATTTCCATGAATATTAAACTATACTGTATCTAGTACGGGACGGTAGTCCCATGGTTTCCAAACTATATTTCCATGAATATTAAACTATACTGTATCTAATACGGGACGGTAGTCCCATGGTTTTCAATCCATGTTTCCATGAATATCAAACTATATCGTATCTAGTACGGGACGGTAGTCCCATGGTTTTCAATTTATATTTTCATGTATATCAAATTGTCTTGTACCTAGTACGGGATGTGAGTCCCATGGTTTTTCAAACTATTCTCTATCTATAGATCGTACATTTCAAACTAATTCATTTCTAGTTCGGGATAGTAATCCCATGATCCTCAATATACATAGTTTTATGTATTAAACTATACTCTGTGACATTCAACCGGTCTTACATTTAGGAAAATATGGGATTTTCCTGGGGTAAAATACAACACATAAACGAATTGGTAATAAGTGATAACTAAACTAACTTTACATAAGGAAATATGGGATTTTCTTGTATAACAAACCTTTTCGGAAAAATAAAGGAAATTGGTACATTTTCAGAAAAACAAACATCTTATGAACTCACCAGCTTTATGCTGATTTTCAAACCGCTTGTATTCTCAGGTCCAAGATAGATAGGTACCCAACAATCCTTTTGGAGAAGATGGAGCATACTAAAGATCTCGTCTTTACTTTTGTTAATATGATGCATATGTATATCACTTGTATAACTTTACTTTTGAAACAAATGTAAATTTCTATATGTAATGTATTGGTTGTTTACTTTACTTACTATATGCATTGGATTTGATACTTAACGTGGTGTCCGCCCCGGAAATGTTTCCGCCTTCGGTTTCAGGGTGTGACAAATGTCTTATTAGATTAAGGAGGAAAAATGAGATTGGGCTGAAAGGAGCAGTATGTTGGGCGTACATGCCTTTACTCGCATCGTACAAGCCCTTAAGCCAGTATGCTTAACGTACTAGCCGAGTACGCCCCACATACTCAGCAGGAATGGATTTTGGTGTTTGGGTTTCATTTTAGGCTTTTGGATTGTTGAGTTGGGCCAAGTTATGAAGAGGGTAAAAAGGTCTTTTACCCTAGTTTGGACACTTAGTGTGGGTCAGATCTGGTTATTGATGGATGATTAACTTGTGATTGATAGCACGAGGATTCTTGCAGGACAGCAGCCAAGGATTCTTTCTCTGAGATTCGACAGTGCGAGGTGAGTTTCCTTACTGTATTTAGCGGGTCGAAGACACCAATATCGGCTCATGGTTTGCTATGCTTAGTATGTTTGTTGCCTGCACGACTCTTGCATGTGTTATGTGTTTTATGTTTACCGAGCAGGGCTCGATGTCGGGCGGGGCCTGATGAGTATATTGTATGCTAGTTATGTGTATGTGTTTTAATGATTACCGGTACGACCCGATACCGGGCAGGGCTCGAAGCCTAGTCTGTATGCTGTTTATCTTTGTGATTTTGGCATGTGTTCTGTGTTTATATGTTTATACGTTTATATATTTATACCAGGTGTGGCCCAATGCCATGTAGGGTCTGATGATTGGCAGATCTATATACCGAGCGGGGCTCGATGTCGGGCGGGGCCCGATGTTGGACGGGGCCCGATGTCGGACGGGGTCCGATGTCGGGTGGGGCCGGATGACGGGCAGGGCCCAGTATATGTTGATATGTGTGGTATGTGGTATTTTGGGGAAGTCACTAAACTTTGTGCTTATGATTTTTAGTGTATGTTTCAGGCACTTCGATTTTGAAATGGAAGAGCTCAGGAAGATTGCAAAGCACACACCATATGTTTCTGCATTCTGTGATTTACTCTGGTAACGATGATGTATTAAAGCAAATAACATGAATGTTGTGAATTATTATTTTTGTATGATAATAATTAGACTACCTATTAATACTCTTTTTAGCTATTTATCCATGTCACCATATAACGGATTACTTTTCTTTTTTGAACTATTTAACCATTATATTCCAAAAAAAGTTTTATATATGATCATTTACCTTTCTATGTAATGTTTTGTGGGATCTTAGGATCCCTTGATCTTCCCCATCTTGATCTTAAAAACTTTAAAATAAATTATATGTAAGATCCAATCTTAACAACCTTGCAAACAACCTGTAAGATGATAGTTATTAATAATTAGTTAAATAAATAAGCTTAAACTAGACATTTATCATTGTATTTTACACGAAAAATGAAGTCAATTGCACTAAGAATTTGACAAACTGCGAAAACATAGGGGTAGGAATGTGTAATTCACCATCTAAGAAGCCCTTTAGATGGAACGGTCAATTTTCTGATTTTGCCCTAATTCCCAATTTCAGCCTTAATTCTTCATCCTTCGTCTACCGAAGATATTGAAGACTTGAAGAAGCAGCAACGCAGGTAGAATCTCTCCCTCCCTCCCTCTCTCTCTTTCTCTCTCTCTCTCTCTCTCTTTCTCTCTCTCTCTCTCTCTCTCTCTCTCTCTCTCGTGTACGCATAAACACATACACCGACGACAATGTGTGCTGATTTCTCACAAGTTCTTTTCTTCTCGATTTGAAACATTTTGTTTGGTTGATTATCCTTTCAATTGCAGGAAACAGTTCATCCGCTAATTATACGAAGCCAACAACACCAGATTAAAAACATGTGAGTTCAATGGCTTTATTGTTTGAAACAATTAAGTTGTTTTTCTACTTGCGACGTTTTTTTATTCCAGGAATAGTTCATCATCTCTTCATCATGCTAGTTGTCTCGATTAAAAGCTCCCTTATTCAATACTGTTGTTTCGAAGTAGTGACTTGTTGTTTCTTAGAATCCATCATCTAGATATTTATTTATTTATTTATTTAATCGTTTCTTCAACTTCCATACTCTCTTCCACAATCTAGGTTTTCCGCATATGTAAAGTTTAAAAACTACACATCTTCTTTAACCCATCATCTTCTACTATGTTTTTCCTCAAATCTAAACCTCCATATCATATGTCTGCGTACATGGCATCTTGCTAATTTCAAAACTTCCACCATTTTCATTTGGCATCATTTCGTAACAGTTAAAATTGTTGCAGAGTTTGAATCAAATTATCTAACATGAAGTTGGAGGAGTCAAACCCCTGCCTCAGCAAGTCAACTCGCTTACCAAGAAAACGATTTTACAGAGCTCGAGCTCACAGCAACCCACTCAGCGATTCCCATTTCCCAGTTCCAATCTCCCCACACCATGTAGACTACTCCCTTCACTTCCCTCAATTCTTCCCATCTCCCAATTCCAATTCCAATTCCGATTCCAGAAAGATCGAATTCGCCGACATCGGATGCGGATTCGGCGGCCTTTTAATCAGCCTCGCAACGCTCTTCCCCAACACCCTCATGATCGGAATGGAATTGCGAGACAAAGTAACGGAATACGTGAAAGAACGGATTCTAGCTCTTCGAATCTCAAACCCTAATCAATACCAAAACGTCTCTGTAGTCCGAACCAATTCCATGAAATACATCCCGAATTACTTCACAAAATCACAGCTTTCAAAGATGTTTTTCCTGTTCCCGGATCCTCATTTCAAGGAGAAGAATCATCGAAGGCGTGTCATAAGCCCTTTTTTGTTGGATGAATATGCTTATGTGATTAAAGAGGGTGGGATTATATACACCATTACAGATGTTGAAGAACTTGGAGAGTGGATGAAAACTTGTTTGGAGAATCATCCGTTGTTTGAAGGACTTACAGATGAAGAACTTGAAGCGGATCCTGTTGTGAAGCTTTTGAAATGTGCAACGGAGGAAGGACAGAAAGTTGAGAGAAATGGAGGGCAGACTTATACAGCGGTTTTTAGGCGTATTGCGATGATGTAGGTTTGGTTTTTTATATTTGTTTTCATGTCGAATTTCATATTTGTTTTTGTTTTTATGTTTTTCTTGATTTTGAGGAAATTTATGGTGATAAATTGTTAGCAATTTTTATTTTGAACTATAGGTCATTTCACGTTCTCTTCGTGTTAGCTGGTTGTAATTTAAAGTTTTCTTGCTTTCTTGAGCTTTAAGATTTTATAAGTTTAATAAATAAATAGATTTTGTTATCATTATGAAGAACATGAACAAACCACAAAGATGGAACTTGAATAAAAACTCAAAAAGTTCTGGAAGAAACCATGAATGGCAACCAAAAACTATAATTTTTAGGTTTTAAAAAGTAGTATAAAACAGTAATAAAGTCACATGCACAAATGATGTGGCATTTTCATGCCATGTAGGACGAAATAAATGATTTGTAGTCTTAGGTTATATTTTTGACAAATGATGTGGCATTTTCATGCCATGTAGGACGAAATAAATGATTTGTAGTCTTAGGTTATATTTTTGACGTACTAATTGAGAAACTAACTGTTAAATGAAAAGTTAGTTGTTAAATGAAAAGTTAATTGATAGATGAAAAGCTAGTTATTAAATAAAAAGTTAACTGATAGCTGAAAAGCTAGCTGATAAAAAATAATGTTTAATAAAATTAGCTGAAAACTAACTGAAAAATATAAAATGATATAAAAGGACATTTAAAACAATGTGTTTTTATAATTAACTAAGGGATATATTTGGAAAATTTTAAAAAAACTCCTAAAAAACTAGTGTAAGTAGCTTTTTAAAAAGCTGGTGTATAATCTATTTTCTGGCTCAAACATGATACTTTAAAAAAAAAATCAAAAAATAAGTTAAATTTTCAGCTAGCTATGATGCAAATATCACTTCCTTATAAACATTGTAGTGGTTTAATGAAATATTTCTTGATGAGATTTGGGCCATTAGAACCAAATGATTTAAAGCTAACAAATGAAAAGAATCAAGTCATTTAGCTATTTAATGATTTATTTTCTGAATTGATTGTGAATCTCATAATAAATTATAAATCTACACAGCTTTTATTGGACAGTAGCTAAAAATAAGGAATAGTAATTCTGTCATTGTGGGCGAAAATTAAGTTTCATATCATTCAAAATGGTAAAAGAAAGTATAATTAAGGTTTATTTACGTTTGTGTTATAAATTCGAAAAAGTAATCAAAGTTGAACCTATAGGGGGAGTGTTCTGAAGCATTATATTGATTTCAGTGATTAGATATTATATGAGATATGATTAAGTTTTATTTATATTTACGTTCCAAAAACTTATAAATACATTTTCAGTCCTCATGAAGGGCATTGGTTGATAAGTCTATCAATTTATTATAAAATTTTATTTGAGAATTATGACCTATCTGTGTGAGAGTTCTTCACTGATATGAGCTTTCTTGTTAGAATAGCTTGTGAGAATTGTGAGTGATTCAACTTTGGTAGCTGTTTAATCCACGTTTTAAAACAGTTGTATTTTTTCATTCGTGATAGAAAATCATTTCACAATTATGGATCCGCTAACAAACTTTTATTCGGTCCTTTTTTATTTACAGTTTATATTTATTTAATCAAATCATACCCACTTAACAAGTCTTACTGATTTGTTTACTCGAGATTTAACACAATCCGCTGCCATTACAATTATTCACATTCTTAATTATGGCAATTCCTTCACATAAATGTTTTGCTACTCAGTTTTTGTTAATTAAGTCTTCATTCTTGATAATTTGATTAATTAGCAAGAATTTCATAACATCTAGTGATCTAGTCAAGAAAAATGGGATTTAATCCCATTAGCAAACCTATAAAACCTATCAATATGCATATAAGACATCAATTTAAACTTTACAAATCAACCCATTGGAGATCGAAGGTATACCTAATATTTAGTTATTTACATATCCGTGGATATTATTACACAATGAAATACATTAAAGGAGAAACACCTTATCAACAAGCATATAAATGGAGAATAAAGTCAAAGTTGGCCAATCTTCTAAACATAATTCACCTCAAAGACATACATTTATATTTGTATGTATCTTGGTAAATTAAAAATTATGTGAGCGACTATAAAGAGTCAGGGAGTTTTCAAGGGAGAAAACATACATGATTGAAAATCTTCTCAGATTTAAGCTAACATCTCAAAGTACGAATCTTCTTTCTTATAAGTTAATCACTTAGTGTGATTTAATTATGAATCTAGATGACTCTTATGTTTTCTACAAAGCTAGTGGGAGCGTAGTAACATTCCTAATCTTATATGTAGTTGACATATTAATTCATGAATAAGGATTAAGTAAAATTGCATTAATTGTCAAGGATCTTAAAAACCTACGATAAAGGACTTTGAGAGGGTCATCTTGTCAAATACAACATAACATGATTTTGAGCAAAATCCTAGTGCAAATGTTTTTGAACTAGATAAATGATTGTATTCCGTATGCTGATGTAATTGGATTAATCATATATGTCATGATTATGCATAAAGGCCAAATGAGTCGTATGCTTAGAGCATGTCAAATGATACCAGTATAATCTGAGAACAAGTCATTGTGTGACTTATAGGAACATTCTAAAGTACTTGCGAAAACTAGAGAAATATTCCTACACTGCGGAGTATTTGAAAGAAAGCTATGTTTAAAGTTGTTACACATGTGCTAAATTTTCAAATAGATTTAGATATCTCCAATCATATCGGGCGTGTCCTCATTATGAATGAAGAGATAGTTTCATGGATAATGGTTCCATGTAGATTTCAATTATAGTTACACATCAGAGTTAGAGTACCTCATGGATTGGAGAACAACGTACAAAGATGCTTAATGTATAGTTCATTATGACTATGAGTAATCCCATTACACAAGTATTGGTATCTAAGTCATATTCAAGCATCTAATTCATTCTCAATAGTTTTTCTTTATATATGAGTTATATATAAAACTGCAAATGATTGTATTCACAAAGTTTATATAAATCAAGTTTGTCAAATCTAGTTAATAAGGTTGCTTCATTAGCTAGAGCATGAAAGTCAAGCTGGTGCTATAAGGACTTATTGATATAAGTAGATATATTGACTTAAATTTAGTATTTGGATATTGGAACAACACAAACAACATATATTGTAATGAATTGATATATTGAATATGAATCTTTCATTTAATAATTGTTGTGTTTTATATTAGCATGTTTAAATCCTTGAATAACTAGGTTAATCTAAATGTACATAGTCATTCATAGTTGTAGGAGCATCTATCAAGATTGTATCTTTTTAATCTTGGACATGAGATACATATTTGGGACTTGAAGTGTAGGGATTGTTGTGCTTTGACATGGCTTAACGTTGTTTCATAAAAGGCAGTCATAAGGGCTAGCTGTGACAACCCGATATTTTTCAAACCAGTGTAACATTCAAAAAGTCAAATATAATAAACTATTTAGAATCAAAGAAATCAGCGTAAAAAATGAAGTGTTCTAAAACCTAAATTGGGATGCATAAATTGTTAGATATCATGCCAAGGTTTCCAAAAATATAAAGAACACTCAAATCCGAGTTATAATGAAGAAGTTACAATTTTTCTAAGTTTCGGAACAGCGGTAGAGAGCTAAAAACTCGGGATAAAGATTGAGCGACTTTTAGCCGATGCAACCTAAACGAGAGTTGAAGGTCTCTACAATATTAGTACAATGGTAAAAAGACAGACAAAAACGGACATCAAATATAGAAGTTAAGAATTTTTAACGAAATTACCGTGTCCCGACCTATTTAAAATAAAATAATAAAAATTACAATTAAAATTAGCCAACTAAGTCTGAATGAAAGTTGTAGAGTATATTCTCACCTTCGCGTAGATATAAAGAACGTCAAAAACGGAGCTCGTATGCAAAAGTTACGCATTTTTGAAGTTTTTGGCACGCATTACGAAGCTTATTTGAACGAGTACGCCCAACGTACTTCGGAGTACGCCCAACTTACGAGATTCATGGACTCGAATCAGTCACGTCGCCCCCTAACACTCTAATGCCATTCCATCCGAAGACTGGAGACTGTGACGCCATCGCTGACGTACGCGCCGCGCACGAGGGTACGCCCAGCGCACTTCGGTGTACGCCCAACGTACGAGGGCAGTTTCCTCACCTATAAATACCATGCGAGACCTTCGACTTTCCTTTCCCAATTCTCTCTTCTCTCTCACTTTTACTCCTCGTGTAGCATCCCGAGACGACCCCGACACCCCGGTTTCATATCCCAGCCCCAACGAAGGACCGAAGCCCCAAGATTCCCGAGAATCTCGCCACTTTCCGGTCGAAGTGCCGCCTAAGAAAAACTCGCTTTCTTCGAATCGTCACACATTCCAAGTGAGTTCATACCCTTACCTTCTTTTCACGTCTTTTCATATTTTAGGGGGGGGGGGATACAAGTGTAATACGAGAAAAACTCATCATTTTATACAGATTCAAATACACCACCTACATTTTATAAATATTAAACAACTTCGATATCAACGTATAAACTATCAAGAAAGTTAGTATTACATCGAGTTTTTATTACCAAATGGTACACATTTTCAGAAAAACTATAAAGGGTATAGTTTACAAGTTATTCATTACATCTTTATGTAAACATTTTGAAAATGAAATACTTTCATCTACATGAAATATAGACTTTTCTTTCATAAATCTATTAATACTAAGTGTTGTGAGACATTCAACTTCAACGTACTCTCAAGTACGCATTTAAAGCCTTGTATTATAAACCATAATCTCTTTGAGGGAGAGCGTGGTATTTGTGTATAGATCTATACGAGATTGACAGTCCCACACCTAAACTGTTAGCTACAGTTAGACCGGAAGGTCTAGGGTGACAAACGTCATAACACTGCAATGCCTGAAGAACGTTGTTACAGGCAGTCTGGGTCAATAACATGGTTATAAAACTCACACGGAAGTATTAACGTAAGTTTGATTTACG